TAGACTACCGGAAAGTAGTTGATTTGTTCATTTTATTTTAAATATCTATAAATATATAATTCCAGTTGTATGACATTTAATTGTTTTTTTGTGTTTGTTTTAAAATAAATAATTTCTCTAAAATACTTAATTACTTTTATCGGATATTTATCCCCCCTTTGATAATTTCTATTTACATTCATTAAACAAAATGTTTGTATTTTTTAAAATAAGTAACAAATATAAAAATCACTGACAAATGTAGAAGTTTAAATAATAAAAAATGTTATGGGCTATGATTCCTACTTATTATTGTAAGTTGTCATATACACATCAGTTTTTTTAATGGATTGTATTTTTTCTTTAAATCTCAGAATTTTCTTTAGTATTTCTATAATAATTTTCATTAGTGCAAGATTTTTCTTCGTTTAAAGAAATTACATCACTTTCGTTTCGTTTTTTCAATTGTCCTATAATTTTAATGTAATTGTAAGGAATGAGACCAACATTTGCATTGTCAGTTGCTCTGCACCATCCTGGCATATTTTTTGGTTGCAACGCTTGTGGCGCAAGATAAAGTTTCTGACCAGCTCTTAGACTCAATTCCTCGTTGTTTGATGCGGTAAAATCATACAATGCAGTTGCAACAAATACCGGTTGATCATATTGGTACCAATCCTTTGGATCCTTACCTAAAACGTATGTGTAAAAATTTTAACACTATACACGTATAATAATCATGTTTATTTTCTAATAAAGAAATTAATTAAAATTGTCATACCTTTTACTTGAACATTTTTAATATTATTTGTGATTTTGTGAATCATGTAAGGTATTACAAAAAATACGCTAAATATTAAAAATCCAGACCAGAAAGAAGTATTAACATTTTCATTTCCGATCTTTGCCAAAGATTTTTTCCATAATTCCTCATTCATAGAACCTTCATGTTCAAAACCTTAAGGAGGAAAGTTCAATAAACTTATATATTGAAATATATAATTCTTTAATGTTACATCATTTTTATTAATCTCACCATTATTGCGTACGATTTTCCTGTACAACCACTTTACAAATCTAATCAGAGCAAAAGTACTAAACAATTGTCCTAAAGTTGAACGTAATCTTCCAACATTTTCTGCAACACTTAAAATTGCTTTAAATGAATTTGTTAAAGTGAAATATGTAGATTCTAAAAGCACAGTTATGGATGAAAATGTTTGTACAACTGTTTCAATTAATTGAAAAGTTGGTCTTGTACTTTCTTCGAAATATTGAAAAAATCTGTAAAGGAAAATCATTACGAATGTAAAAATTTATACGTTTGCTGTAGAAAGATTTTAAGTCTAATCCATTTTGTATATTTTTTGTAAAGGTTAGTTTATAAACATTCCAATATAACAAAAATTAGAAATCAGTACATTAATAAGCATTTATAGTTCGTAAATATACAATATGATACAAATAATTTAATTAATTCAATGAACTAATATTTTACTATAACAATTTAATTTTAATTGTTAACATCCCATTAAGACAAATTTATTATTATGTACCTATTTTCAGCATCGCCACTGTGATTATTAAACATTCCGTAATTGTTATAATTAGAATATGGGCTACAACCATATGAACTATACCCTCCAAACCCACTGGGTCCCCTATATTGATTTCCAAGTCCGTACCCATAACCACCATAGTAATTAGACCCATATAATCTATAATCGTTAAATCCAGAATAATTTTGAGCTGGTTGACGTGGTGGTATTGGTGGTGGATTTCCTAACTGGTTACTCACAGTGGGAAATGGTGTTGGAGTATTTGTTAAACTGTAAATAATTTTATAATTATTATATTATTAATTTATGATTATTATTATAATAAAATAATAAAAAAATCTCAACAAATTTTTTTAGAATTTATTTTTCAATACAGATGTTATTTTTATCATCCTTCCATAACAATGGATCATTTATGATGTGAACTTTGTTTTTAAACATTGTACGTCAGTTTCTTTATCTTAAATATAAAATATAATTTTATTAATTAATTTTTAAAAACATTAATACCTGGATGCAATTTGAGGGGAATTTCTTAAAAGATTTCCGGCATTATCACTTGATTTTCCTGGTGCCATAGCTTACAGCTTGTCCGTCGTATTTTTAATCATACGCTCTGTACAAAGTTCATAATCCCCCCTGGAATCATGGAAGACACGATTTGCATCTCGTACAAATTTTAAATAAACATGCAGTTTTTGACAATTCTGAAGATTACTGTCATCCGTAAACCATAGAGTATTCATACAGAAACAAAACTTCTGTTGAAACTAATCTTAATTGAATGACCTTGAGTACTATATGCCGGTGTTACTACTTTACAAAACTTATACATATTTTTAACTGGATTTAAGACGTATTATACAACAAACGAAAAAGAATTGCATATAAATGGTAGCAAATATTGAGAAGTGTGGTAACATTTAGAACGTACTTAATTACTATAGAAAACTATATTTAAGAAATATATATAATTTCATGATTTTAATTTTGCTTAAAAGATTATTTTCATTATGTTATTTATATAATTGAATATTCTTTATATACGTATACATATAAAAAACTTTATACTGTTACATATAAATATTTTATAATTTTGTCAATGTATACATACCATGTAGTAAATTATTTTTTATTTATATATAAAAATTATAGAGAGAAATACTATAGTATTCCTTATTTTATACAATATATGTACTTATATAGTAACTTGATTTTTTCTTTGTCAATTAGAATAGAATGATAGACATTTTTATTGAATTATGTTATTTAATAATTAAGTTTTGTTCCTAATCTAAATTCAGATTACCCTGCTTCTATGTGCACGCGCATTAAAAATTGATTCTTTAAAAACAGATCTTCGTTTGTGTAAAAGTTCTCTGTATAAATTTTCTTTTCGCCCACAGATGCCGCAACAGAGTTTGTACACTTACGTACTTATATAATTCAAATTAGTCTAACCTTTCCACATTAAAACATTCATCACAGTAAAATACCGGGATTAAGTATTATTTAACTGTAAATATAATGAATAATATTCTCAAATTTATGGGAGATTATATACTGTATGAAATTTTGGCATTAATATGGCTATTGTACGTATGGAGCTTTTATTTAAATCTCCGGCAGGTAAATTATTCCTAACCTCAGCTTATCCACAATATGATACTCCTTTTTCAAATTAATTTATAATAGTAGTATAAATTATTTTTACTCGATAGTAGGACTTAAATTTTAAAAAGTTAGATGAACTTAAGTATATACTTTTTCTATCTGAACTTTCAACCTAATTGTACAAACATTGTAAATCGAACTAGGCAAACAGTTTCAATTCAAGTTCATCTGATCTCTGAGTTTTTATTAATTTATAAGTTGTTATTAATTAAGAATACCTTTGATTGCATCTAATTCAATTTTTTTCAAAAGATATTATCTTTTGAAGAAGATATCTATCTATATTAAATATCTATCTATATCTATATTAAAGATATCTTCAATTTCTTATGAAATGTTTATCTCGAGTAACTTAAATGTATTTTGTATAATGATCTTTATTATTTAATCTTTTTTAGCGTGCTCTGATGATGCGTTTGGTTGAATTACCTACTGCTGTTGAAAGTTTTATGACAAAAGATGTCTATGATAAAGCTCGTGTGTATCTCTTGGATAGATTAAATTTTTCCAATTTTAAGAATACTTATTCTGATATCTTTACTACGGTATGTACATTTACATTCTTTTTATGATACATATAATGTCATGTGTTTAAAAATTACATTATAGAATAAAAGTGTTTAATTGACTTAAGGATTTTATATATATTTACTTCTATATTCGTAGGGTTTTTTGTTAACTCTTGGCTATCGTCATTTCTGGAAATGGAGTATTGAAGTAGAAAAGTACTTTGGTCTCAATTACGAAAATGAAATTCTACTCAGTGTTACTTTCATGTTTATTTTAAATGTATTTTATAGCATCATTAATTTACCATTGGTGGTGTATAAAACATTTGTAATAGAACAAAAACATGGATTTAATAGAGAGGTAAAGAAATTCAAACCCTTTTTCGTAACTTGAATTAGAATTATACAAATTGTTTATTGTTTATGTTTTTATTGAATATTTTTTTCAGACACCATTGTTCTTTATCAAAGACCAGATTCTTAAGTTTGTTGTTGTACAAGTTTTGACTATACCTCTTCTTTCTGCTACAATCTGGATAATACAGAATGGAGGAGATTATTTCTTCCTTTATCTTTGGATTTTCTCAATCATAGTTATGTTTTTGATGATGATTATTTATCCAGAATTTATTGCGCCACTCTTTGATAAATATACACCTCTTCCCGATGGAGAATTAAAGACAAAGATTGAAGAACTAGCAGCTTCAGTTAGTTTTCCACTTTATAAGTTATTTATTGTGGAAGGGTCAAAAAGATCTTCGCACAGCAATGCATACTTATATGGTTTTCATAAACACAAGAGAATCGTATTATTCGATACCTTAGTAAAAGAATATTATAAAAAGGCAGAGGGTGAAACAGAAGAAAAAGGATGTGAAACAGATGAAGTGTTAGCAGTATTAGCACATGAATTAGGACATTGGAAATTTAATCATACAGTGAAAGGAATTGTACTTGCGCAGGTAAACTTTGTATTTAAATATTAACTTTCTTACTTATTTTATTTTATTTTATTTTATTTTATTTTATTTTATTTTGTAATTTTTCAGGTAACATTTTTGGCAAAGATTCTTGTGTATGCAAAACTTCTAGATTATGAGCCAATGTATATTGCCTTTGGATTTACGGACTCGCAACCTACATTTATAGGACTTATTATTATCACTGTATATATTTTAATACCATTTACAACAGTAAGTTCGATTATTTTCTTTGCGCATGTGTAAAATATTTTCTACTCTTTAATTATATTAAAATTTAAATGTTCTCTTCTACAGTACTTAAATTATTTTGATGATCTCTTCTTTCAGTTAATACAATTTGTAATGGGACTAATTGGAAGAAGATTCGAATTTGAAGCAGACAGATTTGCAAAAGATTTAGGGCATGGAGACGCGTTGAAAAGGTCATTAATTAAACTACAGAAAGATAATCTTGGTTACCCATTGTTTGATCCATTATATTCCTGTTGGACGCACAGCCATCCTCCATTACTAGAAAGACTTGAAGCTATTGACAAAGACGATTAATTAAAAAATTAATTTAAAAACTAATGTTTTTTACCTTGTAAACATAATCACAAAATATTGTATAATCGGTTAAAGAAATAACTTTGATATTAATTTCATTTAATTCAGTAACTAAAACATTAACATTACCTAAACATTTTTTAAGTTCCAAAGAATAGGAATTTATTTTTCACGTTTACTATAATTTCACAGAATAAAATATAATATAAAATACAGACCACTTGAATTGGACTTTAGGACCTAGGTCAATTTTATATACTGTTTATTATTCATAGCAGTGTTTGAAAATATCCAGTATTTTTTCTAGATATTAGTAAAACATCATTGTGATTAATTACTACAACTTATAAATAATATTTAATATAATGTGCAACAATCAAGTACAGAGGAAATATGGAAGATATTTCTGCATTTATATTCATTAAATATGATTCAATTTTAATTATAAATGTGGAACTTTTATGAACATATACCTAGGATATAGTTTAAGGAGGTGTATGAAATGACAAGAGACTGCAAAATACATAATATCTATGTAATTAATCAGAATATTTCTACTGTCTTTAGATTTATATATTTGAATATTTTTTGCATATTTTACCTATTGCAATGATTTTTACCTATTTTTAACATTATATGTACTCTTTAATTTGTTAAAATTTAAATAGTAGTATCTTTATAGTGGACCATTTAAAGTAAAGACAATAGTCTAAATAGTAATTAATTTTTTTTTATAAATATGTAAAACTATATGCAAAATGGGCAGAATAAAAGATATCAAAAAATTCTTAAGAATATCAGTCTAAGTTTCGTTCATATAACTTTATTCCATACAAGTATGCATTTGTATAATTATTTGCAGTCTAGTTATGAATTTATTTTGAGATTTTCTGTAGACACGGACAATATTTCTTTCCTCCTCTTATTTTTATAGCTTTTAAATATTGTTTATACTAAAATATTTTGTATCTCGAATGCGATTAAAATGCATGTGCAGTAAACAAGAAAATACTGATTCTTAAATCCAAAATGTATTGATTGTATGTATATATAACATCTAAATAATTTTGATTACTATTATTGCGACATGTATCTTAAAATGCGTAATTGTTCTCTAAATATTTTGTTTACCAATAAACTCTTATTTAATTTTATTGTACTTAATACATAAGACTTCAATTAAATGTTTACTTTCTTAATTCATGGGAGTCATAACAAAATGATGTAATATTGTGAATTATAAGAGTATTTGAATAATTTGTAAAGTAATAATAAAGTAATACTTATACAGACAATAAGAAATTAATATTAAATAAGTATCTCTTTCTGTTATCATAATCATTAACTTACTTTCTAATGGAAGATACAAAGAAAAATTTATTGACAAAAAAATAGAATTCTATTTTATGTAACATTTAACTAATTTTTGTATGTTGAACACTTCCAAGGAGTGTCAATTGTTACAATGAAGAAACTATATAAGAGATAAACGATTGTAAATAAAAATGCAAAGGAAAATTATACTTCATATGATTTTGAGATTACAATATACATTTATATCTCAATTTTATTAAAATGCTCATGTTTACAATAAATACACAGAAATGAGGAAAAATCTCGCAATAGATCCATTCGTCGTTCCAAGACGTAAAGTGCCTGAAACAGATAACAATACACATATTTAGCTTTAAAGTCAAGTATTACCGTTAAAAAATTTATTTATTTCGCAGTTTTGAAAAATGCAACGGAAAGATCAAGAATTAAGAAGAAATGAAGCTCGATAAAAAATAAAGTTTGATTTCTTTTAACGTTTTACCGTTTAAATCAATTCCTCATTAAATTGACGCGGTATAAAAAGTGGACAGTAACTATCAATATAAATGTAAGCAAGTATTTACATAGACAACTCGTGAACATTAATTTATCTTCCAGATATTAGAACACCCTTTTTTATACGTAAACTATAAATATTACTTCATATTTTCGAGTAGAAAAAATTAAGATTTACATTTAAATAATATAGTGAACATTGTAGTATATATGGAGTATAATTAATATTTGACAACAAAAAGAATTATTCTTTTCACTTATATAATATAATCAATTCAAATATATTAAATCTATTAGCAAGTGAAATTACCAATTTTAAATTGCCAAATTACGTTTCTATTAGATAAGATTCGAGTTAGTTACCCGATTATGCTCGATATGTTTACAGTGCATCGTACTGTATAAGTATTCGTATTATTTAATATAATCCTTTCTTTCTTTACAAGAGACGTATGATATTTTCATCTCTATCCGTAAAACAACAACGGAGCTTCATTGAAAATGTTACTACTAAAGGTACTATACGTAACTTGAATATGTTAATAATGCATGAAGGTGGTAGACAATGATCATAAAAAATATCAGCAATCATTTAATTATCGACAGTAACTTCCTTATTATCTAATTATAGTTCAATTATATATTCGCAAAATATTCGATGTCGGTTATCAATTACAAGAACGCATGACCGTTCGAGGTTACTATCCGTGTGACGGTAGACCATATAAAATATTGCATACTGTTCCCTCAAAATTTGAGGTGGCGATAAATTTGTATGTAGCAAATATATTATTATATTCGATCCAATCATTACCCCAATCGTTTTAGCGTAACACGTTTACAGAGATTTTCTTTTCTCGTTGTTTGCACAGTTAAGGAAATCAAATAATATTCTTATTTAACGTAAGATTATCGAGCAGGGCAAATGATATAGAAATCAACGTGCTGTGAATTAAAACCCACTTTATTAAATGTTCAAAATGGTGTACACTGGTTTTCATTGAAATATTTATCGATCCTTCGAATATTCGTGATCCCGAACATCCGACAATATCAATGAATATAACCATTAGAATGTAAACAGAATACGTTATCTATATATTATTCTTATTTTGTTCACATTTCTTCAACTATGCAAGCGACGGACAATATTTCGTTCAAAGTTATCTATTATTTAAAAATGTATCAAAAGTTCAAATATCCCTTCGTTCGAGATCATATTTTGCGTAGTTAAAGAAACAGGAACGAATTTACTGGAAAGCACCTAGCTGAACATTGATTTCCAACGATATTATCAGACACCCGATATAATCGTAACGAAAGATAAACATTTTTGGTACGTGTACACCATTTTAAACGTTCGATTTTGGAAGAAGGTATTTCTCATTCACACGTTGGTCCATTTGCCATCCCATCTTATATATGTAGCTCTGTCATTGTATATGTTTCGTTAACTGTGCAAAATATGAAAAAAAAGAGAATATTTCAAATGAACGAAACAACCGATAACGTAAAGATTGCTTATGCATCGTTTCATTTTAGCACACGATGAGTTTTCTACGCCCACTGTTTAGGGGTAACTCAGTAATGTAATCTTTAAAATAACCTTAAAATATAACAAAAAAGAAAGAAAAATGAATGCTGAATCTATACTTAGTGACGGGTCCACGTTGCGTTCGAACAAGTTCGAACATTTATAGAGGGGATAGTCCAAACAGGTTCGAACTTCGAACCAGCATTCGAATGTAATCAAGCTTAATATGTACGTTGACCGCCACGAGAATGTTTAGCGTCTTGGTCGATTTCAAATTCCTCATGTTACTAATATTTTGATTTGACATCAGTTTTCTTCTTGCAATTGTTTTCAGGCAATTTAGAAGCTCCGGCCATAGGCGACCACCGGCGATCAACGTGTTAAAAGCACGTGGTCGAGTTCATAAAACGAATCGCGCACAAGTAAAAATTTCATTTTCCGTTCTTTCGCTCGAATCTCATGAAATATCGTCCGCCTGAAAATGGAATTGAAAAGAAAAAATAAATAAAAATTTCATAGGTGCGCCGTTCGTTTTATAATCAGTAGAACACCAAGAATTCGCTCCCAAGTCTGAAACGTTCGAAGAGCATTGCTCGGGACGCTCGGAACGTTCGAAAATCCGATCTTGTTCGAACATTACGTCATTCGTAGATGGTTTGAACAAGTCGATCATTCTTGCTCGTGAACCCATCGTTGTTTGTTCCAATCCAATATGTTTAGAAAGATCTGTAACGTTTCACGCGGGACACCCTATGCATGACACAATCTTAAATCCGATATTGACCACGAACCTCTGCGCATGTGCGTATCAATTTTTCCCACCGATCAAATCGACGTCAATAACAGGTTACGAAATACGCACGCACCGCCGCTCGATTCGAAAAATGGATTTAAAAAG